ATGGTGTTTCCCTACCTCCGATGAGAAACCGATCGGGTTGATGAAACAGATCCTTGATTGCAGTACCCTCAGCAAGAAATTCTGGGTTTGACAGAATTGAGAAGTTGATTCCTTTCCTGTTGTGGGTAAGAATCTTCTCAATTGCCTCAGCTGTTTTCACAGGGACAGTTGATTTCTCAACCACAATTTTGTCAGATGTTGAAACATCGGCAATCATCCGGGCCGCGCTCTCCCAATAGGTTAGATCCGCAGCTTTGCCAGCTCCAAGGCCCTGAGTTTTTGTTGGGGTGTTAACCGAGACAAAGACAATATCAGCCTCAGCAACATGTTTCTCCACGTCCGTGCTAAAGAAGAGGTTCTTCCCTCTACACTGCTTCACCACATCCTCGAGTCCCGGCTCATAGATGGGAAGTTGGTCGCTGTTCCAGGCATTGATCCTTGGCACAGAGATATCCACCACAGCTACTTCAATCTCTGGACACTTCAGGGCAATCACAGCCATGGTAGGCCCACCAACATATCCAGCTCCAATACAACAAATCTTCACCATTTTTGCTAGCTCTCAGCAACCTTTAAGGCACAAGAATTTCAACTTAAACAGCATATATATAAACACAAGGTAGCTAATTACATTAAGGGGGGGGGGGAAAGTTTAACAATTGGAAACTCCAAGTTGGAATAAATTCTCAGACGAGATTTACTACAAATAGGAGAACAACTGAGAAATTCATTCAAAAAGATTTATGGTGCAGAAACAATATTGCAGAAAAAGAGGAGTTATAGAGGGATTAACAAATGCATACACTCAATAGTATACATACAGAGAACGAGATCTATAGCTTTCAACATGAAGCGGTGGGAAATGAGATTTAGATCCAGGTGTTCGCACAGAAGAAGACGAAAATGCTCAAATGGAATTCATTTATTCCACTGTTTAGCTCTTGTAGTGTTTCTACGCGTACATGCACATAAATAAATCAAACAAAAGACAAATTGCAGATTCTAATCGTCCATGACAATCTTAGCTAGCAGATCTACGACAATTTACCTCACAACAGCCAACAGATCTCCTCGCAAAGGAACAATTTCAAACACACGCAAAGCAATAGAGCCATTTCAGACCCGAACAAGAAAAACAAAAATACCCGAATGAAAGAGAAAGAGGAATGAACCAATCCAGCTAAACCCAGATAAGCAAAACGAGAAATCCCGAGGCCCCAAAAACTAAATCTTGTTGAAACCGACGAAATGAAGTAAATTTGAACAAACCCACAAACAGATCAATTACCTTCTGCTTACTAAACCCTTGATTCTTGTTTCTCCCTTGAGATCGTGAAATGGAGGAACAACACAGAGAGATATATAGAGAGAGATCGATCTGATCCAGAAGAAGATGAAAACAATCTCACAGCTTCTTCTGCGAATGAGAAGAATGAGAAAAAAGAAGACCGGGTTGTGTATATATATAGATGTAGATATATAGACGATTCAGGCACCAACCCAGTCACCAAGATAATACCCACTCTGGTTTCCGTGAAGAAAGCATTATTACTACAACTGTGCACAACACGTTTTTGGTTCTTTGTCATTTACAACCCACCTCTGATTATTCATCCCTAATTAATTGATTAATTTTCTTTAATGGTACTAATATTTTTTAGAAACCTGTTACTAATAATAAAAATTTGTCAGCTTCGATCGAGTTAGTTAGATGGTGGATCCAATGACATCATGTTGCTATTAATTAGAAATTCATAATTAATTTATTTTTTGGGGTTTATCAGCGTGGTACTATGATCAGGGCATACGGATTAATTGATCGTACTTTTTTGAATAAAAATGAAAACTTTTTTTGAGGAGATTTTTTTTGAAACAGGAACAGAAAAACCATCTTCCACCGACATGAATGTCAGAAACGGTCCAACAGCTGCAAAACTGGCAACATTTTTTTCAAAAAAAGGAAGTGAAAATAAAAAGGAAAAAAATTGAATGGGTGTTCAAAAATTAGGTTTTATCTGATTAAAAATGGATAAAAGAATTTTTAACCTTAATATAATTTAACTTTTCCCCTCAAAATTCAATGGATCATGTGGACAAGAAAGTCCCTGCAAATTTTTTTAATTATCTTTTTTTGTTCATACTATTATAATTGTAACGATACGCGAGTTGTTAATATTAAAAACATCAAACTTCATAAATTTTTTTTGTTAATGACATTATGAAAGTTGCTAGTATCATTACGTTACTTGTTAATCAGATTACTGAAATTGTAAAAATGTTACTTTTGAATTTTTCAAAAAAACTATTGTTAAATACTATAGCAAATTTGTTAATAATATTACAGAACTTGTTAATTGTGTTACCAAAGTTATAAAATGTTATTTTTTGAATTTTTTGATTGTTAATAACATTAAAATATATTAATCACATTACTGAACTTCAAAACATCCCACACAAATAATTGTTAATCGTCAAATCTTCAGTGATCGGCAGCCGAAACTCCAATGATCGGCAGCCCATCTAAACTCTCGTGACCCCTTCTGGCACTAGAGCTCGGCTACCAGCTGGCTAGTGACGATGGTTTTTTAAAAAATAAAAATAAAAGATAAAATGGTCATTTTAATAAATTTGTAAATCTTAATTTAATCACCTTTAACCATTTGAGGATTTCATTATTTAACTTTCATTTTTTCATTTTTTCCCCTAAATATATTCAATTATGGTCAGTTATGTGTATACCAAAATTCGTCCTTTTCATTCGAACTGAAAACTTGACCGAGTCTTTTGAGCAGAAGTATTCAAGTACGATTTGAAAATATCATTATTTTTATTTTATTTTAATATATATATCATTTTATATTTTAAAAAAGTGTTTCCAATCACTGTCAAATTAACACAAATCCATTTTTTTCCAGAACAAAAACGCTATTTTTACAATTTTTCATTTATCTTAAAAGAATTTTTGAATGGGTGCGAATTTGGATTTGAAAATCAAATATGATTATTCACCAATCCCCATATGCCAGGCAATTTTTTCTGGAAAAAGAAAATACATCATTAATTAATTTAAACATTTAGCAGTTACAATATTGTCTAAAACAATTTAGGAGTTATTTAAACAAAAGAAACCAGAGAACCTATATATGTAAAAACATGTATACTTCTTCCTTCCCTTTATTATAAGATCCATTTAATTATATTATATGATTTAAAAAACTGTCAATAGTTTAAAATAATAAATATGTTAAAAATATATATTTTTCAAATATACTCTCATTTATAAATGGGAAGGTAGGTGTGAGTGAGAAAAAAAATAGAAGAGAACATATGGGGAAAAAAAATAATGAGAGAGAGTATATTAATAAAGGATAAAGTGAGTAAAAATACATTTATCATTTAAACAAATCTAAGAAAATTTTACAAAAAAACCCAAACTAATTTAAAAAAAGATCTTATAATAAAAGCGAAGGCTGTGTGTGTATATATATTATAAACCTTAAAGTCTTGATGAAGATATTCTGTTGAAGTTGTTTCACATTTTTGGCTTTCCATGTGGCCTCCTGATTTTCTCCAACAGAATCATCACCACTTTTAAAAGTTTTAATTATAAAACGTACAATAATAATGTAAGCGGATTATAATTTATATATATATATATATTAAAATAATAATATTCTGGAACAATTATTTTAATAGAGTTCAATAAATAAAATTGATGTGACACAGAATATATTATCATTAAGGAAAAGAAACTTGAGAAAGCTTTAAAAAGTTTTTTAACTTTTTAAAGGTTGTTCCATCACATGGACACAACAGCAAGGTGACATGGAAGAAAGACTATATGTTATATATTGAACCTAGTAAATGAAATTAAATGTATTTGAAACTTAGTTTCACATATATTGTATATTTTTTTAATTGAAATAATAAATATGAAACAAAGTAAATTGAAGCAAAAGGAAAGAAACTATTCCTCTCTCTATGTGTAAAGTTATCCCTTTTTTTATCATTTGTTATGGTTATATAAGTCAGTGTGAGAAGAGTTAACTTGAAGTTTGAATAGTTCATACTGCTATTATTATTAAAAGTTGATATTTAATATATTATTTTTTATTATATTATAATACTCTTCCGGTCCTTAATATAAGAGTCATTTAACTAATTTGATTAGATTAAGGAAGTTAGGTAAGTTAGTTAATTATAAGAAATGTGACATATTTTTTTCCTAAAAACCATTATCATCTATCTTAATACCTCATCTCCCTCTTCTACTTGATTATGGTAGGAGTATCCATAGGGGTAATTTAGAGAAAACTGATAAATATGAGAAATGAGTCTTATATTTAGGACCAAAACTAATTCAACAATTGGTCCTATATTAAAGACCGGGGGAGTATATTGTTTATTTTTTTTAATTTAAGAATTCTAGAATCATCATTTCCATTTTTTTCCATCAAAATCATATGTGTGAAATATAACTCATGAATTTGCTTCTTTGGAAGTTGAATAATTGCTCATCAAAATCTCTCTCATTTCCTTTAAAAGTGGAAAACACGAGATGGTGTCACTCATGAGGGACAGTTATCTTGTAAAAAAGACTAACCTTATCTCAAAAATTATATTTGTTCATATTCTTAATATAAAAATTAAATAACTAATTTCTGAATATAAAAAAAAATAATGAATTAGTTGTTTGTAATAAATTATGTTGATTTCGTTAAGCTAAGGTATGCTTTTAATATATATGTTAAATTTATACAAGATTTTATTTTGGCTTCTTAGCTTAAAAAAACATCTTTTTAGTTATTTACTCTAAAACAGTTAACAAAAAATAATGGTGTTGACATATCAAATTTAATTTTTAAAAAATTATAATTGCTAAAAAAATCATCTTTTAAAACTAACGATTTTATGGTTAAATGATTAAAAATTTACTTCTCAAAATTAAAGAAACAAATTGAAAACTTGTATAAAGTTAAAAACCAAATATATAATATTTTCTTTTTTCAAAATACCCTTTTTAATAATAACGCGCATGGTAACTATCTCTTGACGAAAACCTCTTACTAGGTGCAATCAATAAGAACAACTTAAAAGAAAAAAAATTTAAATATAAAAAATAAAATGGAGTGAAGTCTTATGCTTAAATTAAAACAAACCCTTAATCTAACTCCTATATTTAAGACCTGAGATAGTAATTTACAGGGGAGAGGAGCATCTCTTTGCATCCAAATATCAAAATATTGCATGGAGTGCATGCTTTTGTATTTGAAATTTTGGAATGCAACAAACCAACAACGTGAATGCTTCAAAAGCGCCTGATTTGGTGCTTTCCTTTTTTATTTAACCATAAAGCTTGAGTACTTCCTAAGAAATAATCCGCCCCTTCTTTTAAATAAAATATTTAAAAAAAATGCCGTAGTAATGGTTATAAGGTGGAAAGTTTCATTTTCTCATATCCATAAAACCATCCCTACATCAAGAAACTAATTAACCATATGTTTTACTATTAATGTGTAATAATTAAATTAACTAAAGTTTTGAGAAAAAAAACTAAATTCACGTGCATACACACATACCTATTTTTGAAACAATGGTGTTGTTTAAGACTTTTCTTCTTTTTCTACTCTTTTTTCTTTTTAAATTTTAAGCATTCCTTGATTTAGTTTGCTTGCATAGCAATTCTCAAGTCTCAATGCTCTTTTAATTAAGCTATTAATTGTTTTTAATTTTCATATTTGTTAATATATCAATAAATAACGTACCAAGCAATAGAAGTCGTATTCATTGTTCAGCAGTGCTGCTGATCCTTGTGGTTTATAATTCTTCTTTTTTTTTTAAATGAAATATGTTGTTTCAAAATTGTTATTATTTTATATAATTATCTGATATTTGGTTTCAGGAAAATTTTGATCACTCTACCGTATATATGTATAAGTTTTATATACGACTGACTATCTATATATACATGTATATATTGGGCAAGATATTCTAATATTATTGTTAAAATAATTTTTAAATGCTTTTAAATTTCAATTTTAATTATTAAACTAAGATTTTTAGCAATTTAAGAAAATCAAACGGGCATTGAACCCGGATACTGGTCCACGACTTAATTGTGATCAGACCATAGTTGAACCAATCATACATAAATTAATATATTTTAAACAATACATGCTTGAAATTAAAAACATATAATTATATTCAATAATAAAAATAAATATAAAAAATTAAAAGATAATACATAATAAAAAGGAAATACCACTAGTATTCCACCACCTTCGCCCAAAATATAATACTTATTTTATAATTTATAATTTTAGAACGCGTTTGCAATTTCGCATACTTTTTTTATACATTTATTCATTTTTCTTCCTTTTCCAGTACTTCTTAAGTAAAATATGCATAGATAGTAGTTTAGAAGCATAAATTAAA